GTTAAATGCAATCTCCAATCCAGTTTTATTGTTGCTAGGCGTCGTTACGTGTGACGCGGGGCGGGGCGGGGCGGGGCCGAGCTGGAGCGGAGCCTGCGAAGCCAGCGGAAGGGCAGCAAGGAGAGGGAGGACCGGCGCAGCGGACGGAGGTGGAGCGAAAGAGCGAGCCGCATGGGAGGAATCGGTGTGGCGGAGGGACAGAAGTGGGAGGTACGTGATGGTGGAGACGAACAGATATACTACAAAAAATACTTCTGTCAACTTGACAGCTCCTGCCTGAGAAGGGGATTGTGATGATGTGACTGCAGAGTTGCCGATGTCCAGGTTTGTTAAGAAAAAAACTGACATCTAATAGCATGAAGCAGCTGTAAGTTTAAGAGCGCCATTACTTCTTTGGTTCTGCATCGTGTGTGCGGTTCTGTGTCGTCTACTGTTGTGCGCTCTTATTGCGGTTAGTTTCTCTCGTACTACTGTTGTGATCTGCTGCAAGAACGATCACACGACCACGTATCTGTGCTGTGATGAGAGGAATAATCTATGAATTAACCCCGGTAGAGGAAGTTCGGATGACATAAAAGTACAACCAGTGGACCCTGAGCATATGTATAAATGTTTGGGATTCAGGCAAATATCATTAACTGATAGAAAACAAAACAAACAACACAAAGAAAACATATTCAAATCTCGCCTTCACAAAATCCTAAAAACAGAGCTCATTGCTAAAAACAAAATTAAATCCACCAACTCTTGGTATAGAGTAATAAAATAGTCACAAACTGATCTGGAAAATCTAAGTATCCTAGTATGTACAATGTCCACAAAATACAGAATCCACCATCCGAAATGTGCTTTGGAAAGATTGTATATTCTCAGAAAACAAGGAGGAATATGTCTCTTAGACCTTAAAAGCCTGTACAATAAACAAGTTCCAGGATTAAAAAGGTACTTTCTAACTGAACCATTAGAAAGTTATTTCCATCTGTGACAAAGGATTTACTCTGCTTAATCTGGAGGATAAGGAGAACTATCCGAATGTAGCCACCACTGATGACAGAATACAATTATGGAAGTTCAAAAGTTTCTTCAGTAGATTTCTCCATTTCCTGAAAAATGATGAAGACGCCTCGATGCGTTGGCTTCGGGATGGGTCTCTATTTAGGGATACTCAGGAATTTATTCATACTATCCAGGATAAGGTGACTGCAACCAATAATTACAGAAAATACATTGCGAAAACGGATGTTCGAGATGAATGTAAGGTATGCCATCAATCACCAGAAATAATAGAACGCTCAATAACGTCATGCACAAACTTGGCAAACAGACAATACCCA